ATGGACTCATGTATTCATGGACTCATGTATTCATGGACTCATGTATTCATTGACTCATGGACTCATGGACTCATGTATTCATGGACTCATGTATTCATGGTCTCATCGACTCATGGACTCATGGATTCATGGACTCCTGGACTCATGGACTCATGTATTCATGGACTCATGTATTCATGGTCTCATGGACTCATGGACTCATGTATTCATGGTCTCATGGACTCATGTATTCATGGATTCATGGACTCATGGACTCATGGACTCATGGACTCATGGACTCATGGACTCATTTATTCATGGACTCATGGATTCATGGACTCATGGACTCATGGACTCATGTATTCATGGACTCATGTATTCATGGATTCATGGACTCATGGACTCATGTATTCATGGATTCATGGACTCATGGTCTCATCGACTCATGGACTCATGGATTCATGGACTCATGGACTCATGGACTCATGTATTCATGGACTCATGTATTCATGGTCTCATGGACTCATGGACTCATGTATTCATGGTCTCATGGACTCATGTATTCATGGATTCATGGTCTCATGGACTCATGGACTCATGGACTCATGGACTCATGGACTCATGGACTCATGTATTCATGGATTCATGGACTCATGGTCTCATCGACTCATGGACTCATGGATTCATGGACTCATGGTCTCATCGACTCATGGACTCATTTATTCATGGACTCATGGATTCATGGACTCATGGACTCATGGACTCATGTATTCATGGACTCATGTATTCATGGATTCATGGACTCATGGACTCATGTATTCATGGATTCATGGACTCATGGACTCATGTATTCATGGTCTCATGGACTCATGTATTCATGGACTCATGGACTCATGGACTCATGGATATATGGACTGATGGATTTATGGACTGATGGATTTATGGACTGATGGATTTATGGACTGATGGATTTATGGACTGATGGATTTATGTACACGGAGACACGCAAACTTTGATACGAAAACTTTTACTACATATTCATATTCACATACTTATATTATTTGCATTCCTTTTTTTTATTTATTTTATTTTTATTTTAATTAATTTTAA